AACGGTTCATAATAAAAAAATTATTATAAAATGAAAGAAATATATTGCTTTCCAATTTTCGAAATATTGCTCTCTTTCTCTGTCTCTGTTTCTGTCTCTGTCTTTCTCTCTCTGTCTGTCTGTCTCTGTCTCTGTCTCTCTCTCTGTCTTTCTCTCTCTGTATGTCTTTCTCTGTCTCTGTTTCTGTCTCTGTCTTTCTCTGTCTGTCTGTCTGTCTCTGTCTCTGTCTCTCTCTCTGTCTGTCTGTCTCTCTCTCTCTCTCTCTCTCTCTCTCTCTCTCTCTCCTCTCTCTCTCTCTCTCTCTCTCTCTCTCTCTCTCTCTCTCTCTCTCTCTCTCTCTCCCTCCCCCCCCCACTTGGCATCTTCTCCCTCTACTGTTCTCCCATGTTATCTCTCCCCCTCACCTGTCACTCATCTAAGTGCTGTGATGACTGGTGATATGTAATCAATCATTCACTCACTTTGATAGTGGACACCTGGACACTTCCGTCACCAGCGGGTCCTTTGTCTCACCTTCCTCACCCTCCATGTGTCTCCCTCACCCCCTCATGTGTCTCTCCCCTCACTAACATGTGTCACCCTTACACGTGTGTCGTCAGGAAGTGTCACGGGACGAGCGGCGGGTGGAAGTGTCTCTCACACACCTGCGGGTCTCGGCCTCGGGTCACTATCGCTGTGAAGTGATCGCTGAGCACCCAAGCTTCCGCACCGAGGTGGCTGCTGCTACCATGACTGTCCTGAGTGAGTACCTGTGTGTCCTTAGTGGGTACCTGTGTGTCCTTAGTACCTGTGTGTCCTTAGTCAGTACCTGTGTGTCCTTAGTGGGTACCTGTGTGTCCTTAGTACCTGTGTGTCCTTAGTCAGTACCTGTGTGTCCTTAGTGGGTACCTGTGTGTCCTTAGTGGGTACCTGTGTGTCCTTAGTGGGTACCTGTGTGTCCTTAGTACCTGTGTGTCCTTAGTCAGTACCTGTGTGTCCTTAGTGGGTACCTGTGTGTCCTTAGTCAGTACCTGTGTGTCCTTAGTCAGTACCTGTGTGTCCTTAGTCAGTACCTGTGTGTCCTTAGTCAGTACCTGTGTGTCCTTAGTCAGTACCTGTGTGTCCTTAGTCAGTACCTGTGTGTCCTTAGTCAGTACCTGTGTGTCCTTAGTACCTGTGTGTCCTTAGTCAGTACCTGTGTGTCCTTAGTGGGTACCTGTGTGTCCTTAGTCAGTACCTGTGTGTCCTTAGTACCTGTGTGTCCTTAGTCAGTACCTGTGTGTCCTTAGTGGGTACCTGTGTCTCATTAATGAGCACCTGTGAGACAGGCTTCCTCACCACAGTACACATATGGTGTACCTTTGGGATATAAGCCAGACGTCATATATGACAAAGTTTGAGCTGTGGAGATATGAATACATTGTATGTGTCACCTGCTTGTGTATAGTGACATGTGTCCACACTTAGACACATACACTCACTGGACACACCGACTTTAATATTTGCTTGTACTCTTAATCAAAACATATCAGTGATATTATTAGTGCCTATTGTAACTGTTTGGTCAAACGTAGACAAATTGACTGTTGGAGAGGAGCAGGGTGAGGTGTAGTACCACTGGAGTACCACAATGGTATGATAAAGGTATGTAGCAGTAACTGAGGGACCTGACCCTACATCTTTAAGGTATGTAATATTTACCTGTTGTGTGTGTGTGTGTGTGTGTGTGGTGTGTGTGTGTGTGTGTGTGTGTGTGTGTGTGTGTGTGGTGTGTGTGTGGGTGGTGTGGTGTGGGTGGGGTGTGTGTGTGTGTGTGTGTGTGTGTGGGTGTGTGTGTGTGGTGTGTGTGTGGTGTGCATGTGTGGTGTGCATGTGTGGTGTGTGTGTGTGTGTGTGTGTGTGTGTGTGTGTGTGTGTGTGTGTGTGTGTGTGTGTGTTGTGTTGTGTGTGTGTGACAGTGGTGGTTCCTGGTGTCAATTAGTAGCTCTCCAGGTCACGTGTAGGTCAAAACAGTAAGAAAGGCAACTACAATATAAAAGTCAATCTTTAACAAAGGAATTCTAGAGAACAAAAGTGGAGTAAAGCCATAGATGAGAGGCACCTTTGGTGAGGTAAGGTTACGACAGGTGGGTAATAGGTGTGTGTGTGACGTCACGGCCCCCTCCACCAATCACAGGACACCATCACACACCATTTGGGGATATTTCTTGGGGTGTGGATCCCCAGATATTGAGTCTCGTCCTCCACCTGTTCCTTTGGTTATTCTCTCTCTCTCTCTCTCTCTCTCTCTCTCTCTCTCTCTCTCTCTCTCTCTCTCTCTCTCTCTCTCTCTCTCTCTCTCTCTCTCTCTCCTCTCATGGGTCTTCTCCTTTCTTTGTTTTATTTATCAAGATGTTTATTTCTTTCTCTGTTTCCCTCTCACTGTCATTACTGATGTTATCCTTCAGAGAAGTACTGACACATTTACACAGGTAATCACTATAGTTTTCACACTTATTTAAGTGAATGCTTTATTTAAGTGAATGCACTCAAGGTGTTGTCTTACAGTAGCTGCGAGCACTCAGCCCCCGGGGGTAGGGGGGGGAGGGAACTGACGATTTCCGTCAGTGAGGAAACTCTCCGCTGACGAAACCAGTGCATCCTTCCTCGATCATGACGCTTAGTCTCTATTTATTGAACAATTGACGAGCTTGGAAGGTTGGCAACCCGTAGTTAGTATTGTTATGAGCACTCCGGAGCTCAATCTCTTTAATATATGTGACCCAAGTCACTGTGTGTGGGAGAAAAGATGTACAGGTTTCGTAAGGGGATATTTAGGTGGGTGTTTGATAAGTCCTAGTCCTGGTCCTACGTCACTAGGCCTCAGGAACGGCCTCGTGTGAGCCAATGAGAGCGGCCTCGTACACCCGCCAAACACACACACAAACTACGACGTTGGTACAACGTTCGAACAAGTTTTAACACCTCCTAACCAGTTATAACAACCAATATATTAAGTTGTAACAACGTTCTAATCCGTCATAAACACGTTAAGCCAAGATGTAACAACTTTATTACAAGTTGTAACAACGTTCTAATACGTCATAAACACGTTAAGCCAAGATGTAACAACTTTATTACAAGTTGTAACAAGCGGAAAATAGAGACAGTTTCGGTTTGTTTCCAGGGTTGTGAGCCAATAGGACTTGTGCAGTTTCCTATATTCTTGTGTTCCTATTTGTGTATAAATGTAATAATTATATGGAGCTTTATAAGAAGTCTGAAAGTTAAATTTTTCTTAGAAAAAGGTGGAGGAATTAAGCAGCTCCGGTATATCAGGGGATTTCCTGCTTCCAGTGGCAAGAGCTCTCCTGGGTGTAGTGGGCGGGGGTATGGTGCCCAGTGGGTGGTGGGCGGGGGTATGGTGCCCCAGTGGGTGGTGGGCCGGGGTATGGTGCCCCAGTGGGTGGTGGGCGGGGGTATGGTGCCCCAGTGGGTGGTGGGCGGGGGTATGGTGCCCCAGTGGGTGGTGGGCGGGGGTATGGTGCCCCAGTGGGTGGTGGGCGGGGGTATGGTGCCCCAGTGGGCGGGGGTATGGTGCCCCAGTGGGTGGTGGGCGGGGGTATGGTGCCCGGGCTGTGTGTGACCAGTGGGTGGGTGAGACACCACCATCACCACACCCACCTACACTGGAATATTCAAAATACTGCGGAAGACAAGGAGAGAGAGCAGAGAGGGAGAGAAGATAGGGGGTGAGGGAGAAGAGAGAGAGGAGAGTGAGAGAGAGAGAGAGAGAGAGAGAGAGAGAGAGAGAGAGAGAGAGATGGAGAGGAGAGAGAGAGGAGAGAGAGAGAGAGAGAGAGAGAGAGAGAGAGAGAGAGAGAGAGAGAGAGAGAGAGAGAGAGAGAGAGAGAAGGAAGAGAAGTGAGAGAGAATGGCCCCATCTCCCACGAGACAAGGTCTCGCGCCAATATTGTATCTCTCGCCTCTCCTCTTCCATTTCCTCATTCCCCTTTATTGGTCATTTTCGTAATGTGTTCACCTTTCATATTCTTCCTTCTTATTCTTTTGTTTCTCTGTTCTTTCTGTTCTTTGTTCTGTTGGCAGTTGGTAGCGCTGATGACTTGTTGATCCATTAGGTTGGCTCTCCCTCACCCCGTGTTCTCCCTCACCCCGTGTTCTCCCTCACCCCGTGTTCCTCTCCCTCACCCCGTGTTCTCCCTCACCCCGTGTTCTCCCTCACCCCGTGTTCTCCCTCACCCCGTGTTCTCCCTCACCCCGTGTTCTCCCTCACCCCGTGTTCCTCTCCCTCACCCCGTGTTCTCCCTCACCCCGTGTTCTCCCTCACCCCGTGTTCTCCCTCACCCCGTGTTCTCCCTCACCCCGTGTTCTCCCTCACCCCGTGTTCCTCTCCCTCACCCCGTGTTCTCCCTCACCCCGTGTTCCTCTCCCTCACCCCGTGTTCTCCCTCACCCCGTGTTCCTCTCCCTCACCCCGTGTTCTCCCTCACCCCGTGTTCTCCCTCACCCCGTGTTCTCCCTCACCCCGTGTTCCTCTCCCTCACCCCGTGTTCTCCCTCACCCCGTGTTCTCCCTCACCCCGTGTTCTCCCTCACCCCGTGTTCTCCCTCACCCCGTGTTCTCCCTCACCCGTGTTCCTCTCCCTCACCCCGTGTTCTCCCTCACCCCGTGTTCTCCCTCACCCCGTGTTCCTCTCCCTCACCCCGTGTTCTCCCTCACCCCGTGTTCCTCTCCCTCACCCCGTGTTCTCCCTCACCCCGTGTTCTCCCTCACCCCGTGTTCCTCTCCCTCACCCCGTGTTCCTCTCCCTCACCCCGTGTTCTCCCTCACCCCGTGTTCTCCCTCACCCCGTGTTCTCCCTCACCCCGTGTTCCTCTCCCTCACCCGTGTTCTCCCTCACCCCGTGTTCTCCCTCACCCCGTGTTCCTCTCCCTCGCCCCGTGTTCCTCTCCCTCACCCCGTGTTCTCCCTCACCCCGTGTTCCTCTCCCTCACCCCGTGTTCTCCCTCACCCCGTGTTCTCCCTCACCCCGTGTTCCTCTCCCTCACCCCGTGTTCTCCCTCACCCCGTGTTCTCCCTCACCCCGTGTTCTCCCTCACCCCCGTGTTCCCCCTCACCCCGTGTTCTCCCTCCCCCTCCTCCCCCCCCACCAACCATATCATCAGCAGTAACATCACCAAACATCTTTTCTTTTCAATTTCCTGCTGCCTCGCCCTCCTTCATGACCCGGCAACCTTGATTTACACCTCTCCGTCTTACTTTCCCTCACTTTCTCTCCCTTCTACCCAGTCCCTCACTTTCTCTCCCTTCTACACAGTCCCTCACTTTCTCTCCCTTCTACCCAGTCCCTCACTTTCTCTCCCTTCTACACAGTCCCTCACTTTCTCTCCCTTCTACACAGTCCCTCACTTTCTCTCCCTTCTACCCAGTCCCTCACTTTCTCTCCCCTTCTACACAGTCCCTCACTTTCTCCTCCTCTATCCCTCTCTTTCTCTCCCTTCACTATCCCTATCTTTCACTCCCTTCTCTATCCCTCACTTTCTCTCCTTTCTCCTCTATAACTCACTTTCTCTCCATTCTCCTCTATAACTTACTTTTTCTCTCCACTCAATCCCTCACTTTCTCTCCCTTCTCCCCAATCCTTCACTTTCTCTCCCCCATCTCTATCTCTCACTCTCTCCTCTCTCACCCACATGTCCCAACTTCTGACCTTTCTTGACTTTCGTCAACTTTCTCTCTTGCTGTTCAGTGATTTTTAGTCTG